AAAAGGGGAGCATGGAAAGGTGAACAAAAGACAGATTTCTAACGCATTGTATAAGATAAGAAAAGAAGAGCTTGGTCAGAGGACGGCCTTACAGTACACTTTTCAAGATGCTCTGGAGAAGGGTTACTATGTGCAGTATGTGGATGACCGTAACGTGCTTACACACTTGTTCCTAGCCCACCCTGAGTCAATATTGATGTTGCGAGCTTGGCACCATGTCATTGTGATAGATGCAACATACAAGACCAACAAGTATGAGTTTCCATGGGTTGAGATTGTTGGCATGACACCGGTGTGATTGAACTTTGTCATTGCATCTGCGCTAGTGTATGACGAGACAAAAGAGTCGTACCAGTGGCTTCTCACGCATCTGCAACATTTGCTTGGCCCTATCACTCCAGATGTATTTGTTAGTGACAAAGCAGGAGGATTGGTTGAGACCGTGGGGGTAATGTTTCCATCATCGACTCATATACTATGCCTTTGGCATGTAGACAGGAATGTGAGAGCACGGTGTCTAACGGAGGTGAGGAGGACGTCTCATTGTGGGATAGATGCAGCCCAACCGACAGTGGATCTGATCATGGCGTCTTGGAAAAGGATTGTATATGCCGGCAGTGAGGAAGGCATGAATAGAGCTTTAGACAGTTTCAGGCGTAGCTGGGGAGTACAGTATCCACGTCTTTGGAGGTACTTGTCAGATGAGTGGTTACCAAACAAGCACATGTGGGCAACATGTTATACAAACCAAGTGCGACATTTGGGTAATACAAGCTCAAATCGGGTTGAATCTGCTCATTCATCCTTCAAGAAGTGGCTTCAATCAGCAACTGGTGCAATCGACACGGTTAGTCTCTTAATAAATTTTCATTTATGTCTTCTTTAGAATTTTTACTTAATCTAGTATCCTAATTTTCTTTCTTTGTTTGTAGGTTTATAAGAAGAACCATGATTATATTGAGGCTCAACATCTTCAAATCCAAAAGCTTCTAGAGGATTCTAGATTAAAGAAGATGTTACTAGCTGACGGAAGACCATTTCGGGAGTTGCATACAAACGTCACTCTACAGGCTATGAGGTTGATGCTCATTGAGGTATCAGTGGAAGGAGCAAGTTGTACATGTACGTTTCCTGCTACCTTTGGTCTTCCATGTAGATGTGCAATGCAGTTAGCACGTTCTGAAAAGAGGGACATTGCCCCATCTGAGGTGTTAGCTTTTTGGACCATTATGAACTATCGTGAACCTCCTACTCGGGCAGAGTGGGATGACGATAGTCTTTACCATCGTGATGTCTTCCAAGGTCTAGTACAGGAGGTTCTTGATAGGGGAGATGAGACCATTCGAGGGGCTATTGGCCTACTTCGGAGTCATCTTCATCCTGAAAATGATGGCATCGATGAGCCGCATGGGGGGCAGCCCCGACCCGGTCGCCCGAGGACATCCACCACGCGAAACCTTTCTCACTTCGAGCATGTGGAGAGGAGACGGGGGAGGAGAAGTTCGATACCTTCGACCACAACACCGGACAATGACCAGAGGACAGGTAGGTTGTACTTTTTTGGGAAATTTATGTGCAATTGTGTAGAATATGATGTACAACTAACTTATTTTTGTAAATGATATTAGGTGGTATCCCTGATGCACACACCAACTTCGAGTCCACAAATACGAATGAGACGGAGCCGGATACTCATAATGATACAGGTTAGAAGTAGTATCCCTATTTTAGATGATTAGATGTTGTATACCTCTTGTATTAATTCATTGTGTTGTGTATTTTGGGACAGATGGTGCCCCTTGGAGGGTTATCAGAACTCCCAATACTGGTTGGCGGAGTTACCCATGGTTGTATTGTTTGGAAACATACGTGCAACCATACATTCGTGGTTGGTTCAACCCAGAACCGGATGGACATTGCGGATTTCGAGCAATATCACAAGCACTTACCGGGTCCCAAAACAATTGGTTGCAGATGAGACGCGAGGTTGTAGAAGAGCTTGAAGCCCGACCTGAGCTTTACAGACCATACTATGATGGAATTGCCGACGGAATAGATAATGGGCTTCGGCGTTGCAGGTGGACTCAAAATCGTGGTTGTGGCGTTACCCACTGGATGGATAATGTGGATCTTTTCGTCTTTGCCACATTGCATTCATGGGTAATTGCTGTCTATAGTCAAGGCGGTCGTTATACCGTGCTACCTGTGATTGCCCCACCAGGAGTAACAAGACCACGTGGGATCGTATCACTACATTTTACAGGATGTCATTGGGTGCGTCTTGACTTTCGACCTGGTCAAGTGCCATTGCCTCCGATTAATGGGCTTTGGCCTATTTATCACGATCCTAGTGTCCATGGTTGGGACCAATTCTTCTCACAAGAACGCCAATTTTATGATAGATTAAACCCAGCCGGTTGATGGTTAGATGTAGTTGTAGTTATTGTATTTGATGCAACTCTTGATTTACTATTTTAGAAATGCAAAAGAAACAAAGTCCAATCATCTGAAAATTCCAAAAGTTAGATCATCTCAAGGGCAAAGACAAACTAGCAATTCCAAATAAAAATAAACAAACTAGCAATTCCAAATAAAAATAAAGTACAAGGATAACAATCTAGAAATGCCACACTCCACTAAGGAGTCTTTCCGACTAACTGTTCATACAACTCGCGAGCCTCACTCATCATATCGTAGTACTCAGATGCATGCTCCACATAGTGATCCTTGTCCTTCACCGCCAATTAAGGAACCACTTCGACTTCCACTTACCACCAACAGGACCATCCACCGGGACCCGAACTAGATCATGCATGTCTAACTTAAGAACATCTGGATCCGGATCATCTCTCATCAGCTCCCCCTCAACTGGAATACGAAGAATGTGATGCACGTCGTGGAGAAGAATCGACATCTCTCCAAATGGCATATGGAAGGTGTTCGTGTCCGGCTGCCATCTCTCCACAAATGCCGTTATCAAAGCTGTATCTAAATGCTGCATCATACAGCCTGCCAAGTGGGACAATCCTGTGCCCTCAACCACCTTCTGAGAACCCTCTGAACTCCACTCATACCTCCTCAAAGACTCCACAGTACCAGATCTATGACAACAATCCAACAACCCACGATCCTGTGCTGGGGAAGTCCACAGTGCAAAGGCAATGTGACCTCCAAAGCTAGGGATCACATCGGGAATCACAGGTCCACCTGAACACATCTGAGACTCCGATGTCAGACGCCACGACATGTCCCCCCTTACTCCCTTCTTCCTCTTCTTACCATCACCGTCTTCCTCACTACTACGTCTCGCAACGTAGCGTCCATCTAGCCCACGCTGTGGAAAGTGCGAAGAAGCTGTAGAAGATGTCCCAACTCGTCTCTTCTTACCGATGCCTACATCAGATTCAGGTGGGGCATCCCCAACCTCATCGACAGCCACATCATCATCATCATCATCATCATCGTCGTCGTCCATAGAAACTGAATCACTCCAATTAGCCTCCCACGGCGTCGCATCCTCAGGAGTAGGGGTGGAGGTAGTACCTCGACTAAGAGATAACTGTCCCATAGTAGGGCGAGCGTCGGGACGCACTATTTCCGCCTTCTTCTTCTTCCCCTTAACCTTACGTGGATTTTTTTCTTCATTTTCTTTTCTACCGGTCGCTGTAAGTCTACAAGCACGACCTTCCATTCTTCCTTCCGTTTTTTCTTCCATTCTTTTCTTATTCATGTACGGTTTGCCTATTCCATGTCCAGACATCTTCAAAAAAAAAAAAAAAAAGATTTACAATTAATGATAATCAAATGCATTAACATTTTTTGATAATTTTCTCTAATTTTTTGTAACTTTTTGATAATTTATTATCTACATTAATTACAACTTTCTTAGTCTTTTTGTCTAATTTTAACTACTTTTTAATTTTCCCATTATTCTAATATTTTTTAACATTAATTACAAATTTACAGATTATATTTCTAAATTTTGATACTTTTTAAAAATTTCAGATAATTTTTAATAATTTTTATTACATTATTCACAATATTTTTCCCATTATTCTAATATTTTTTTCATAATTGAATTCATAAAAATATTCGAATTTAATTTTTATAATAAATTATAAACCGTACTACAACTTATTTCTAATTAAATACAATTATTTCTAATTATTACATAATTTACAATATTTAATAACAATTTTTATTAATTAATTGCATTTAAAAATCAACCAACAATTTTTATTAATTTACAATATTTGTTTTCTCAAAAAAAAAAAAAAGCAACCAACCGAATGTTGACTTCGGTTTGACCATGGCTCAACCGAAGGTTGACTGTGTTTTGACCGAAGGCCAACCGAACGTTGACCTCGGTTTGACCGAGGGCCAACCGAACGACGGCTTCGGTCGGTGAAGGGCGAGGCGGACGGCTTACCTTCTTCTCCGGCGAGCACGGACAGCGGCTGGAGGAGGCGCGGCGGACGACTTCTCCGGCGAGCACGGACAGCGGCTGGAGGAGGCGCGGCTGACGACGGCGACTGGAGGAGGCGCGGCGGACGACGGCGACTGGAGGAGGCGCGGCGGACGACGAGGGGGAAGGTCGGCGACGGCGACGGGGACGGGGGAAGGTCGGCGACGGCGTGGCAGCGTGGCGGGTCGCCGGCGGGGGCGAGGGGCAGCGGCGGACGACTCTGCTGCGTGCGGAGTGTTTGGTCGAAGAGGAAGGAGAGTGTTAGGGGAGTGTTTGGGTAGGGTTTCCTTTTTAATTTTAAAAAGGGTAATTAAGTAATTTACGTATCAAGTTAGGACGACGATTAGTAATTTTTAGGACGACCTTTAACCCTTCAGTTTAGAAACCCCTTTGTATTATTAAAAACTCACGACTTTTCATTTCCTTCCCTTCTAATTTACGCATATCCAGAGCGCAGAAATGATTGGGATATGGGTGAATGTATGATCCAAGATTACCTGTTTATCATTATAAAGAAGAAGAAGAAAAAAAAAAAGACTACCTGTTTATGTTCTCCTAGATAGAGCCGCCCGCGACCCAACAGAAGAGAAAATAAAATATCTACCACATTGTTTCCTGAGACGCGGTGGAGGAGGAGAGAATAGATTTCTTCTCTTTCTCCCACATTTCAATCCTACTCAACTCAAACACCAGGTGTCGTCCATTGTTGGTGTGTCATTTTCGTCTCAACCAGGCCAGACAAACTTTCCCTTCTTTTCTCCGTTTTTTGGTATGCTCACTCATCTCCAGCTATACACTCTTCCCTCCCGGCCAGTCGACTCTTCATTATTGTTATTGCGCCTTCATTTATACTTGTCTGCTTCTCCTTCCTTCTTCACTCTCACGCCAGCCGGAGGAAGGGGAAAGCGACAGCCTATCTGGCCTCCATTGCTCTCCCCTGCTTCCGATCACTCCCTTTCGGCCCTCACAACCCTTTTTCTCCCTTCACGTCGAGCTTCCGGTTTTGGGTCCTCGCCGTAAGTTCCACTTTTTGTTTGGCCTATCTGTTGTAGTGTTTTTGCGATGAAAAGGAGGCTGGATGTCCCCGCTTCGCTCTTGTTTCCTGAAAGTAAATGGGTGTTGTTATGGTGTCTTGGGTAGCCGATAAGTTGTTCCCGTGTGGGATTATCTTATTTTCTCTGGATTGTATCTTTCCGCGTTTTACCAATGACCAATTCTTGTGTTGAAAGATTATGATGTGAAATCGATGAGCCATTGGTTGAGTAGATGGGTGGAATTTACTATGCGACTTTGTTCGGGCTACTGAGGAAACACGAGGAGAGCAATCTGGCTTTGTGTGTACCTTTAAAACCTCTGACATGTGCATGCTGAACTGCTGATAGATAAAATAAGAAAATTTTCACATGTAGCGGTGTTTGTCGCTCTAGGTTTCCTGTATAGTAAGTGGTGACAGTTTTTTTTGTAGAAGAGGAGACTGATCTATGCTCTCTCTCCCCTACTCTTCTGCAGATCTTTTACCAGAAGAACATTATTCTCCGTGTCCTCTGTTGTAACTCGGCATGCTTGTGTTTTGGTGAGCCTCAGTCCATTGGGCACATCAGGGCAACCAAGAGTAGGTTTCGATGGAATCCGAGGATGAAAGTGGGGTAAGCGTGTATTTCAAGGAATGGATGTATGTTCAATTTTGGTTTGCGGAGTAACTAACCTCTACTGTGTAATTCACTTCCTAGTGCTTTTTTCACATATGAAGGAATGTTTTTACTTATCCAAGTAGATTGGTTTCTCTAGTACGTTGATAGACGAAGGATGCTGTTTGAAGAGTTTTTATTTATTTGTTTGTTGAGTTTCTGACGATGGCTGGTTACGCAGGTAAATCCCATGAAGAATGTTGCTGGGGTCTGCCAGATTTGTGGCGACAATATTGGCAAGACTGTGAGTGGTGATCCATTTGTTGCCTGTGATGTTTGTGGACTTCCGGTGTGTAGACTATGCTACGAGTATGAGAGGAATCACGGGACTAAGGCTTGCCCTCAATGCAAAACTAGATACAAGAGACACAGAGGTCTATCATTATGCCTCAATTTCATAATCAACATGTGTTGTACTTCTCTTTTGGTTGATGATGCTGTTGATACTGAGCCGCTCTAGGATGAATTTTCTTGACGCTTTCAGGTAGTCCTGCCATTGCTGGTGACAGAGATGAGTACGCCGACGATGCTGATGAAAGTGCTAGTGACATCAACTACTCTTCTGAAAAGCAGAACCAGAAACAGAAGATGTCAGAGCACATGCTGAGCTGGCGCATTGGACGGGGAGAGGATGCCGGGTCACCGAGTTATGATAAAGAAGCTCCTGCCACCCGTGTTCCTCTGTTAACCCGTGGGCAGGAGGTAGGTCATACCACTACTTATACGAGTGCCTGAAGGTGCTGTCTCTATTTTCACGGTGATTCTGATTTAATGTTCATACCCTTCTAACTTTAGGTGTCTGGTGAATTTTCTGCTGCATCACCTGAGCATGCGTCTATGGCATCGCCTGGACATGGTAATGGAAAGCACATCCATACTCTGTCTTATGCAGCAGATGTCAATCAATCACGTGAGCGCCCTTTATATTGTAGCTTTCCTGCTGTTTCCGTGTAATGCCTGTAAATCGGATCGCAACTGTTTACATTTTGGATCATCCTACTTTCGCAGCTAATATCAGGAGTGCTGAGCAGTCCAGGGAGTTCCCTTCCCCAGGATTGGGCAACGTAGCATGGAAAGAGCGAGTTGATGGCTGGAAGATGAAGCAGGAAAAGACTGTTGTTCCTATGAGCAGTAGCCAAGCTCCTTCAGAAAGAGGTGTTGGAGATATCGATGCTAGCACGGATATTATGGTGGATGAGTCTCTGCTGTAAGTTCTGGTGAATCATGCCATATCTACTGTTTATCATGGTGTAGCCCATTGTTAAGCATGTTGGAAGTGTGCATAATGGTTTTCATTTGCTGGGGAAAATTTCCTACTGTGTTCGGGTGGCTTTTACATCACCCATTATGCTAGTTATTCTGAGGGATTTTGATGGCCGCACCCACCTATCAATATCTGTAAATTTTTTGCAAAGCACAATAATGTCGAATGCCTATTTCCTTGTCTCTTGTTTCCTTTCAGCAACGATGAAGCCCGCCAACCTTTGTCAAGGAAGGTTTCCATTTCATCTTCTAAGATTAACCCATACAGGATGGTCATAGTTTTGCGGCTTATCATCCTCTGTATTTTCCTGCACTACCGAATTACAAATCCGGTGAAGAATGCCTTTCCTCTGTGGCTAGTGTCAGTAATATGTGAGATCTGGTTTGCAATATCTTGGATATTGGATCAGTTCCCTAAATGGACACCTGTAAACCGTGAAACATACCTTGACAGGCTGGCTCTTAGGTATGATACTTTTTGTTCTTGTTTTTTGTTTATCTTTATCTTTATCTACAATTAGAATTTGAAAGAGCGGCTGAACCATTTTAATCTGATTGCTAACTGTCTGGGTTACAGATACGACCGTGAAGGAGAGCCATCACAGTTAGCTGCTGTTGATATCTTTGTCAGTACTGTGGACCCCCTGAAGGAGCCTCCTCTTGTCACTGCCAATACTGTGTTATCCATTCTTTCTGTTGACTACCCAGTTGACAAGGTTTCTTGCTATGTGTCCGATGATGGTGCTGCGATGCTGACATTTGAAGCTTTATCGGAGACTGCAGAATTTGCAAGGAAATGGGTACCTTTCAGCAAGAAATACAGCATTGAGCCACGAGCTCCAGAGTGGTACTTTGCACAGAAGATTGATTACTTGAAGGATAAAGTTCATCCTTCATTTGTCAAGGATCGCAGAGCAATGAAGGTAGCTTGCTAAGCAGTCTCATTTTTTTCATCTGCTGCATAAGCTTTGCATGAATAGAAGCAGAGCAATTTTAATTGCATCTCCTCTTCCTCTTGTGGACAGAGAGAATATGAAGAGTTTAAAGTCCGCATCAACGGACTGGTGGCCAAGGCAACAAAAGTTCCTGAAGAAGGATGGATTATGCAAGATGGTACCCCGTGGCCTGGAAATAACACCAGAGACCATCCTGGAATGATCCAGGTGGACAAAAACTGAATTTCACCAATGTTCAGCTTCTGATAAATGAAGTGGATCTGCTCTTTGTAGCATATACTTTCTGAACTTGTCAATTTTCCTTTTTGAAGGAATCTTATGGTGTTTATTACTTCAGGTTTTCTTAGGTCAAAGTGGAGGTCTTGATACTGAGGGTAATGAGTTGCCTAGATTAGTTTATGTTTCTCGTGAAAAGCGTCCTGCCTCTTCACACCACAAGAAAGCTGGTGCCATGAATGCTCTTGTGAGTAGTGTCTACGAGGAGCTAATAGTTCCTCCTTTTACTTTTTTCTTCATTCCATGGGCTCATCTCACTGTGTGGATAATCCAACTGGTGCAGGTTCGTGTATCAGCTGTGCTGACAAACGGGCCTTTCTTGCTGAATCTTGATTGTGATCATTACATAAACAACAGCAAGGCTTTAAGAGAAGCTATGTGCTTCCTGATGGATCCCAACCTCGGGAAACATGTCTGTTATGTTCAGTTTCCTCAGAGGTTCGATGGGATTGATAAGAGTGATCGATATGCTAACCGAAATACAGTTTTCTTTGACGTAAGTCCGGATTTTATTTGAGTGTTGTATATATTTCACATTTTGCCTCACCATTGCCTTCTTTTATCATGATACTGTATCAAGTAATTGTTGCTGTACATTCTCTCTTTTCATGAACTTTATAAAAGAACTTCTTTCTGTGCCTTCTATGGTTTTGTGAACAGCCTGTGACATTCTTCATGTTGAAACTTTTCAGATGAACTTGAGGGGTTTAGATGGCATTCAAGGTCCCGTATATGTTGGAACAGGATGTGTTTTCAACAGAACCGCCTTGTATGGTTATGAACCTCCTCTGAAGCCCAAGCGCAAAAAGGAAGGTTTTCTGTCTCTACTTTGTGGTGGACCTCGAAAGAAGGGTTCGAAGTCAAGTAAAAAGGGTGCAGGCAAGAAAAAATCAAGTAAGGATGTGGATCCTACTGTACCAGTTTTCAGCCTGGAAGACATTGAAGAGGGTGTTGAAGGTAAGATTTTACTTGTATCTTTCTCCCATTTCTTACATTCTGCTCCTTGACTCCTTCTAAAGCTTTCAAACAATCTTGAAACGACACTTTTTAACTAAAAACCTGCCACATCTCCTTCCTCAAAATATCAGGTGCTGGATTCGATGACGAGAAGTCATTGCTCATGTCACAAATGAGCCTCGAAAAGAGGTTCGGCCAGTCTGCTGTTTTTGTTGCCTCTACACTGATGGAGAATGGTGGTGTTCCTCAGTCTGCAACTCCTGAAACACTACTCAAGGAAGCCATCCATGTCATTAGCTGTGGCTATGAGGACAAGTCGGACTGGGGGAGTGAGGTAACTGTTGCTTCTATCTTTCCGTGTATGAGTCATGCGTATGGCATCTCTTTAAGCTAAGAAATGGGATTTCCTCCTAACTAGTTAGCTCGCTCTCTCCAGATTGGTTGGATCTATGGCTCTGTGACGGAAGATATCCTTACCGGGTTCAAGATGCATGCCCGTGGGTGGCGATCAATCTATTGCATGCCTCACCGCCCAGCATTCAAAGGGTCTGCACCGATCAATCTGTCGGATCGTCTGAACCAAGTGCTTCGATGGGCCTTAGGATCGGTGGAGATCCTGTTCAGCAGGCATTGTCCCATATGGTATGGGTACGGTGGAAGGCTGAAAGCGCTGGAGAGGCTCGCATACGTGAACACCACGATCTATCCCATCACAGCAATACCTCTTCTCATGTACTGTACGCTGCCAGCGGTGTGCCTCTTCACAAACAAGTTCATCATCCCTCAGATCAGCAACATCGCGAGCATATGGTTCATATCTCTCTTCCTGTCCATCTTTGCCACGGGGATCCTGGAAATGAGGTGGAGCGGGGTCGGGATCGACGAGTGGTGGAGGAACGAGCAGTTCTGGGTCATCGGGGGAGTCTCGTCCCATCTGTTTGCCGTGTTCCAGGGCCTCCTCAAGGTCCTCGCCAAGATCGACACCAACTTCACCGTGACATCCAAGGCATCGGACGAGGATGGCGATTTCGCGGAGCTCTACGTCTTCAAATGGACGACTCTCCTCATCCCGCCGACCACGCTCCTCGTCATCAACTTGGTGGGAGTGGTGGCAGGGGTCTCGTACGCCATCAACAGCGGTTACCAGTCGTGGGGGCCACTGTTCGGGAAGCTCTTCTTCGCATTCTGGGTCATCATCCATCTCTATCCTTTCCTGAAAGGACTGATGGGCCGCCAGAATCGGACTCCAACCATCGTGGTGGTGTGGTCCATTCTGCTGGCTTCCATTTTCTCTCTTCTGTGGGTGAGGATCGATCCCTTTACCACCAGGGTTACTGGCCCTGATGTTCATCAGTGTGGGATCAATTGTTAAGCGAGGCAGAAAATGATAGGAGCCAAAGGCTGCGTTGGCTTTTGTTAATTAGGTATATTATATATGCGTAGTGGTATAATATGTGTGTGTGAAAATGTGATATGTATTGCAGCGAGGACACTGATCAAGTGTATGCCAGGAGGGTTCTCCATTGTGTAATATAATACTAATACTAGATAAATAGCCTGAGCTATCCAGATTCCAGTGGTATCCCAATATGGTAAATGAAAGCTCATTTTCATATGCTCCCCCCAACCAAATCCAAACTCTCTGTAACGGCTAGCTATCTTCCAACTTGGACCAGAATCCCAACTTGACTTGGCTGATAAAAGCACTTCTCTAGTTCTCTATACAATCAATGGTTTTTAGGAACACTCACAATACACCCAGCAGAATTCTTATCTGAGGAAGAAATGGGGTTAAACACCCAAACTTTCAAGAACTAAGCAAATGATAGGCTAGCACAGAAAGTTATAAACACAATTGACAAAATGACATCTCATATCAATATAGTACCTAAAATCCCATAGGAGATGCAATCAATGGACAGGATGCCCCAACAAATTTAAATACAATTAACTAAGACTACTCCAACCCATAAAGGGGAATTTAGCTCCCCAAATGGCCAAATATGGCTTTTTAGCTCCCCAAACCCACTTTTCACTCCAACCCTATAAAAAGCTAAATTTAGCTTCCCATTTCCCTTTTTCAATTTATTTCAATAAACCATACTTATTTGACCTCTAATTTTTATATTTCACTTTAATTTTTTCATACCTCGTTATTAGTTTTGAACACAAATTTTTCGATGTAATTTTTTTTTCAAAAATTAGTCGTTAAAATATTACCGTTAAAACTTCGGGACCACTCCAAATATGACCGTTTTTTTGTATCCGTTACTTTACCACTGTTTTTTTGTCATTTTTTGCACCAAATGTCTTTATAAATGACAGTTCTTCATTTTCATCAACTCAACTAAAACTTCTTCCCATTTCTAAAACAAACACATTCATCATGAGTATCTCAGATAGCTCATCGTTTGGAGAAGAAGAAAACGAAGAGTACGAAAGGTTTCACCACCTACGTTTGAGTTTGATCGGTCGGAGGCTGGCTGAAGGTGCATCAAGTCGCCGTCAAACTACAAGCCGACGTCACATTGATCGTGAGAGGGTCGAATGTAATCGACGTCTTATGAGGGATTACTTCGATCCAAATCCAGTATACAATGCTCGCATATTCAGAAGGCGCTATCGGATGCAGCCAAGATTATTCCATCGCATTATGGGCGACATTGTGAGGTTTGACCCCTCATTTGCTCTAAGGCGTGATAGCTTTGGTCAATTGTCACTATCTCCAGAGCAGAAGCTTACTGGTGCGATGCGCATGCTAGCATATGGTTCTCCAGCTGATCAACTTGATGAGTATGTTCGTATGGGTGAGAGCACTTTGATGGAGGTCTTCAGAAAGTTTTGCAACAACATTATCAACATGTACGGGGCCACATACCTTCGCGCACCTACTCCTGCTGATTTAAGGATCTTACTCCGTAAAGCCTCAAGTCGTGGCTTTCCTGGAATGATTGGATCAATTGACTGCATGCATTGGGAATGGAGGAATTGTCCAAGTGGTTGGGCAGGACAATACACCGGCCACATGCATAGGCCAACAATCATTCTGGAGGCGGTGGCCTCCTACAACACATGGATATGGCATGCTTTCTTTGGTGTCATCTTTGACAAATCCTTCTCTAGAATAGCTACATTTTGTTGAAGTATTGCAGCTTCCCTCTCTTTCTTCTCCACAGCCCACTTTTCCGCTTCACGCTCCCTCACTTGCCTCTTGTATGCCCATTCCTCTTTCTCCTGCTCTAGTCTCCTCTCTTGAACATTCATTTTTCTGTTTTCATACTCCATCCTCGACTTTTGTCTCTCTCTCATATCATTACCAAACTCTAGCAGTTGAGTAGTGTATATGTCTGACGATTCAGCAACTACCTTACCTTTCTTCTTTGCTGCCTTTTGTTTGTCGCGTCCTTCAGGGCGAGTCAACACGAAAGGCGTAGCTCCTTCATCTGGTAAGTCATCAAGGCCTTCCACGGGAGATGATTGAGAACCAAAACCTGTGGGAGAACTTTGGGAACCTTGCCCCATAGGTGGAATGGGACTAACAAGCAGGTCAGGATTGGAGTACCACTTTGGACAATTTCGGAGAATTTCGAAACAATGCTCAAAATCAAAAGCCTTGTTCCCATTCTCTTGCTTATATATTGCTCTTGCCTCCTTTTCCTAATAAAATATGTAATACATGGGTTAGAGAAGTTTATATTGACACATATAAAAATAAGAAAATACACAAGTTGAGGGTCCGAAAGAATACCACATCAAACTGGTTCGTGCCACTCGATTGATGCCTTTGTGCTCTTTGCAAAACTCCCTTCCAAGCATTGCAGTGATAGCAAATAATCCTCATTCGGGATTCCATTGCAACAGCAGTACGAATTGTAGTAGGATCCCATTTTTGATGTTCTGCCGCCACTCTTTCCCACAACCTTGTATACTTCTGGTTGGTGCCAACCGCTCCATCTTCTGATATCGACACCCAAGCTCTGCACAAGATTTCATCTTCATTCGGACGCCAATTAGGTCCTCTCTTGCCTGTCATATTCCTATTTTGAGAGACGATAACAATTGAATTTTGAGAGAATGCGATTTATGCTCTGAGAATGAGTGAAGAGTGCTGTAATATATAAGAAAAAATATGGCCGTTAAAATATGACCGTTTTTTTATGGCCGTTAAAATATGACCGTTTTTTCGTCACTACATCAATTATTTCAAATTTATATTTCAAATTGAATCACAAACCACCAATGAGAATAGAGGAAAAAAATCCAAAACAAATTGGCTCCCCAAATTCCCAACCAACAAAAGTTAAAAGAAAAAAAAAAGGATAACAGGTCAGCTGGCGGAGAAGGGCGCCGGACGCGCGCGTGCGCCCCAGGCGCGCGTCCGGCGCCCTTCTCCGCCAGCTGACAACCTCCCCACTTTTTGGCAGCCAAATATCACTCCCCACCCCAAAACCCAGCCATATTTCCCTTCCAAAAACCCAATACCCATTTTTGGCTTCCCATTTTTTTGTGGGTTGGAGGAAGAAAAAAAGCCAAATATGGCTTTATAGCAATTTGACACCATGGGTTGGAGCTAGCCTAAATGAAATCATATGATATAACTTAAAATAACTAGTGAACATGAATAATGAATATTTATTAATGGGGGGTTTCCTCGTATTAAGAAGTAGATCAATAATCACGGGAACAATTTCAGTAGTTAATTGTTTTATTTTAGTCACGGGAATTAGTTCACTCATTTTCAAAATTTCATCCCCATGATAAACGAGTAATCACCCTTAAATTACCGTGAATAATGTGAAGATGATGTACTTTATTTAAAAAAACTGTTGTCAAATTTTTTTCTACTCTTTTCTCGTCAATCTCGAGAGGGAAAGTTTAAAGTCCCCCCCTTGTGTTCACCTTCCCAAAATTTCCCTCTAAGTAACATTTCTCATTCTCGCCATTTTGTACCATGAAAAATCAAAAGCCAAATTTACATTTTGAAGAAATAAACAACACAAAAATCGAAAATCACAAGACATGATATTTTTTACGTGGTATTCTTGTTCAGAATGAACCAGAAAAATCCATGGTAAGCTCGAAAGAGCTCACAGGCTGACCACATTGAATAGAGGATTGCATGTTATTGCTTACGTTCACAATAAGAACGATATCTAAGCTCTTATAATGGGCAAATCAACAAATCCTTTTACACATGAACGACCTGTTTCAATTAGGACATGATGAGGGAATGTACGTGGGTACCAGGCCGTGCCGCTCATGGGCTAGCACGACACGGCACGGTTAGAGCACGACACGAGTACGGGCACGAAATAAATGGGTCAGCCCGACACGAGAACGGATAGTTTATGGGTCGTGTCGGGCCTAAACTTCATGGGCACGAGCACGGGCAAGGCACGGTATATGAGTGGGCAGTGTCGGGCCTAATATTTTCGAGACTTTATTGAGTATAAGAACGAACATGACACGGAAATAATATTTATCTGATAGAAAATAAATATAAAAAGAATTATAGGTTCAAATATTACAAAACACAAGTACAAGAATAATTAATTTTTGTTGTAAGAAATGTCATAAAGATATATACGTAATTGCTAACATAAGTAAAAATGGATAAAGAATTAAACAAAGCCAAATCACACTCGCTATACTTCCAAATTTCTTTTCCCCCTGATTTGTTACTTTTCTCAAACATTATCGATTAATACTATCTTCCTCCGTCCCATTTCACCTTATTTTTCATTCTCTCTTTTGTTTTCGTCCTTTTCATTAAACACGAATACGAGCATGGCACGAGCACGAATAGGCACGGCACGAATCGAACCGTGCCCGGGCCTGGGCCGGGCCTAGCAAAGTTAACAAATGGGCTTGCATGGCACGACACGAAAACTGACGGGCCATGCCAAGCACGACACGAATAAATAGGCCCGAAGCGTGCCCGTTCCGTGCCGGCCCAAGCACGGCCCAGCGCCCATGTACATGAGGGAATCAACACCAAAGCTATTACAACCCTAACATTGGTGTGAGAGGAGGCTGCTCAAAGTGGATGTCCAATCACTTGAAGTCAAACCAAAGCATTGAAGACACAACTACAAGCTTATTTGGCTAAGAGTTTCGCATTATTGTAGTGTGAATTGTTCGTGTGCCAAGAGATCACCATAATCCACGTCCACGAAGAAGAGCCCAACACGACAGAAGGAAGGAAACAACTTACTTGATGGTTAAAGCATCCTTGGTGCGAACACAAGATGTGAATGGTACTTTTTGGGCGGATTCATCCTTGGTGTGAATACAAGGTGTGAAAAGGAACCTTGTGGGGCGAATTTATTGTTGAATGTCCTTTTCCTTTTGGTACTTGGATTATATAGCTACTCAGAGTCAGACTTTTGAGTTAATTAAGGGTAGAAACATTGTTTTGTAACCTCTATAAATAGAGGAGGATTTGCCTACATGCTGAACAAGTTATTATCAATTGAAACCCTAGTTTTTGAGTGTTCAACATCGAATTCTTGTTTTCTTTTTTGTTCATTCGTGGAATCGAGCTAGCAAGGAGAGCCCGACATCATCAACTAGTCAATAACCCTACTTGTGGAGTCACTTCGAATACTTGACACTATTTCTAGCCGTGGTTTAGGTCCGAGTTGTTTCCATCTTTGTGTTTGCTGTGCTACTAATTGTTGCGTTTCTGATTGCTTAAGTCCAGGCGTAGGAGCCTCGACTTATATAAGGAAAAGTATGGTAGTTGTCGACTAATTAAAGGACACATACCAGGCATGAATAGACGCAGTTGCTTATCATCCCACGAAATACAAACAACCACAACACTTCCTCTCAAGTGAAAACATGAATTTCAAACATGTCGAGCTTGAAAGTGAACCACTCTACAAAAGCCTCTCCAAATGAACATGGAACACCATACTATTTCTTGGTTTGGGCTATTTTCACGAGCACGGGACCGTGACAACTTTTAGGCTCGCGAGACGCACAATAGTTGTTGGAATTTGCAAACTTAGCGATCTGAAGGTGATTTTCGCACCCTCAGGGGGTGACAATTGAGTGCTTCCCGTGAAGTCTTGCTCTTCACTCCCTGGGGGAGATTTTCACCCTCTCATGGCGTGACAAATGAGTGCCGCCCGTGAACATTGCACAATCTCCACTTTTTGTTTCATTTTGACCTCTGAATGATCCGAAACTTGTTTCGGACCTTCCCACATGTACTAGGACATGAAATGTGACAAAAGAAGCACAACCTAGCATAAAATAAGTTGAGGAACAACGATAACCAAGTCAAACAATCAAAATATGTGTAATTATGTGCGAATCATCTGTTACTAGACATTGCTTATGTTGACAAAGTTCCGAGTCAGTTGATCAATGCTCCAGCTCATGTTCATAATATGAGACCTAAATGGGTCTTGCTAATCTCAAATGGGCTCAGGTCAATGTATCTTCTTTTCACAGGGTTGTGTCCTTTTTGTTATATATGTTGATTGAGGTGGGTGTCATCATCTCACTCATCATTCCACTACAACTTACTTTATTTCCTTGAGAAGTGCATATTAGAGATATTTTATCTCCTTTTCTATATATTTATCTATTGGAATATATTATCTTTATAGTTATCTCTATTTTTTTTATTGTAATATCCTAAATTAGACTGCACCTCTATTTCACCGTGGATTAGACTTCACACAGTGAAGTTTGAACCAAATATATGGTCTTGTTCCTGTCACGCCAATATCAAATTTCACACAGTAAAGCTCTAAATTTTATTTCCATCAAAATTTTAGAAAGCATACGTATACGATCCAGTGGTTCTCCTAGTATTTATTTTGCCTGAGGGTCTTTAATTACAATGTAATACATGCAAAGAAGTTGACCTAGAAAGACTGTGAAGTTGACCTACAAGTTCCGGTCTTTGTCTTTTTTTCCCCTTCTTCTTTATCTAGCCAGAAAATAGACATAAGAAGAGCCCAAATCACAGTAAATATGGGCATGCATGCGTGCAATTTGGGTACGTGGGAAATTAATCCTATAATTTAAGTGAGCCTTTGAGAAATCGCCAAGGACCGGTTGCAGTGCCCATCCTGTAAGAGTAAAATAAGGAAATAAAAACATATATAAGCCACGATGAATCGATGATGATTCATATATAATGCATTTTTTTGTCATTATCACTGTTTTTTTGTAGGGATAATTAATTATGTGAAAGTACGCATTAATTGCATGCGAAAGGTTACCTCCAAATCCCAGCAACAGTTCTTAACCCCATAAACATGGTTAGAGCAACCCAAATTCCAACAAATCCTCCTGATTTCGACAGAAAATAGACTGTTGGCAGGGTTGCTGCGGCTACCAAAACCTGTTAATTAACGAGGCGAAATGAAATTAGTACGAAGCTATATATATATATATATATATATGAAATCATAATTTTATGAAAAGGGTAATAGATATCGTAATTGTAATTGTTGGCTAGTAGTAATAGTAATATAATTAATTAAAACTTACCATGGAATAGGAAGAGAACTTGAAATCCGATGCGCCGAAGTTGACTCCATCAAACACAAAGGCAATGGAGTTGATTGGTTGTGTCGCTGCAACGAACTGCATAGATAGACCCGAAGAACGATAAGTTTGCCAAACAAAAATGCTAACTACTACCGTTCTGAAAAATGTTTCGAATTCGATTTTAGTTAGTTAGTTACCGGGATTCCAATGCTTATGACACGGAGAACGTTAGGATCTTTAGTGAAGATGGTGTCTCCGAAGTACAAACCAGCCCCGACAACCGCCGCCAGCCCTATCCCGAGGAAGAAGCTCATCTGCAAGACCCTGGTCGCGGCACTCGTCGCCTTGTGATAATCCTTCTCAGCAAATGCAGTAGCAATGATGGCCTGTGTACATGTAGAAACCGCGAGTTGGCTATTGAAAACGCGAATCGATCGAGAGCTGCATGCAAGTTTGTGATTATTAGAAAGAAACCTGTCCGGCAATGGCCAAGCCATCGGCAAGAAGTGAAGACGTGAGCCAGACTTGTAGGCATATCTGGAAAGCAGCCATAGGGGTTGATCCGAGGCGGGCAGCCCTTGATGCGGCGAAGGTCACGCATATTGTTGCTGCTATCACTTTAGCTAACAGTACAAAACCTAAGGGATTCACAGTAAGTAATCAAATTTATTATAATTAACATTAATCACATGTCAAGGAAATGTTCAGTTCTCAACTTCTGCCGGCTTTGACCCTTACCATTCTTTAGGAAGCGGTTGAATTGCAAGTCTTTTACGCTTGGAGGCATGAGATTGATCATTTTCATGAGTTTCAGAAGCAGGATCAGTGAAATCAAGTACCTGCAAGAAGGAAAAAATCACCACAACATTGTTATTATTATTATTATTATTATAAAAGCACAAACACTTTTCACTGTCCATTAAAAAAATTATATAATTAACAAGCACTTTTCATGGTTCATTAAGAAAAAATAGGCTATTTTTTTCTCCACGGGTATTGTTCACAATAGGGTTCTATCCCGTATACCCAATTTTACCATAAGTATTTTTTCCTCCTTTTTTGCAATATTATTCATATGATTTTTATTCGCTACAACCACTTCTACGAATTACGATAAGTCTAAAATTCATAAGCAATTATATGAGTTTTATTCTTTACAACCACTTCAACGATAAGTGTAAAATTCATAAGCAATTATTATTAGACTACATATTATGAAATATTTATGTAACAAAATTCAATAAAAGTTACTTAAATTCAAAATCCGTCGATGTTACTTACTATAACTTGATTATACTATTAGACCACACATCATGAGAAATTTATGTAATAACGTTCTATAATTGTTACATGAGTTTTTACTTAATGATTAAGACACTACGTAAAGTCTATGGACAAATAATCATTTATGTATCAATTAAAAAAAGAATATATAAGTTTTCTATAATAATTAAACACTACGTAAACTTTAAGTAGAAACAGTTATTTACAATGTATCACTTAACCCAATGAATCACGTATGTTCTTCGTAATGATTAAAACATCACGTTAAACTTACATATTTATCTTATCTGAATAATTTCGTAAATTATTTGATTTAAACAAAATATTAGTTTCTACCGTGACGGAACGCAGGCAAAAAAACTAATTATTTTAACGTATACTAAAAAAACCCAGATATATAGCAGGCGTGTTTAAGGAAATGAGGAATGCTTACTGCGAAATAACATGAGCAATGGCTGCACCGCTGACTCCCCACTTGCACACAAAGATGAATATTGGGTCCAGAATGATATTTGCTACATCTCCAGCAACTGTACATATTTATGTTGTGAATTCAAGATTAGATCATGATTAATTAGTGTGGGTTGTTCATATTAATTAGACCATATATAATCTTGAATTAATAAATAGGTGATGAAGGGAGTTGCTCACCTGTGGCATATAAGGGAGTCTTAGTGTCCTTTAAGCCACGGAAAACTCCTTGCATTGCTAATGACAGAAGAACTGCTGGTGAACCGAATGACCTCAGTACTAAATACTTTTGTGCCGGGACAAGCATTGCCGAACCCTATTGATCAAATACCATGTCCAAAACATTAACTTATAATAACTAATTAATTAATTAACTAATTAATTAATTTCAAGGGTACACAGAAGAAGGTGAAAATATGTACAATGGGCAGCAGCAAGTTTGATTTGTCCACTCAAAATCGTCAATCTCGAGATTTTGCATCGAATAGGAAAGATACTGAAAAATCGTACTTATATATTATAGAATTTTGAAGTTATAAAATTTTAATGTGCTATAAGAATATTTATTATATATACACCAAATAATCACACGAAACAATAAAACAAAAAAAATTAAAATGATACCATTTGTACTTTGATTGTCTGAAATAAATATCGAATATGACAAAATGTAGCGTACGCCAGTGTATGATACACGCCCACGTCGATATTTATTACTTGTACTTTAATATATTTTAACGAATCAGAACCGCGTCGGTTATTATTTCGAGATTGAACGAATCAATTAGAAATTAAGGTATAGTATCTCGTCCAAACTCAAGTTAATTCATTGTACAAATAATAAAACTCGATTGAGTGGGAAAGAAGAGGGAAAAAAAAAGCATAAAAAGGCAAGCAAATGAAAAGGAAGAGCCACTCACAGATTTGACACCCATGATGTTCAAGAGCGGCGTTGCAGTGAAAATAAGGACAACAGCTTGAAGAACACCAAGCATTCCACCAACAACTATTGCCGTGGATGCTGACGGGATATGTCTCTTCTTCTTTGTCACTTCCTTTTTATTATTATGATTCCCCCCGACATCCGATCCATCTAATGCGCAGCCACTGGATTCCATTCCCACGGCGGCCTCCTTCTTTTTGCCCTCTTCATCATCATCATCGTCATTCTGTGGAGGAGGAGAAGAGCCTTTCTCCAAGTCTGTCGTCGTCGACTCGCCATCTGCTTCCACCACCACCACCGCTTTCCCTGAATAAAGCTCACGTTTCTCGGCTTGGAACCGCTGCACGGTTTCCTCCTCAGCGACGAAGGAAGTTGTGATGCTCACCAATGGGAAGATTGTCACTTTAGAAGCTTGGTTGAATATTGCAATCGCCACCCCGACTGCAGCTATCTCCACGGGTCCTATTTATTTATTTACGTGGTCCAACGGAATGAATTAACGCCGTCCATGCATAGATCGATCATATAATAATTTACGTACCTAAGTGACCAATGAAAGCCGTGTCGATCAAAGAAGCGACGGGATCGGCTGCTAAGGCCATTGCCGCCGGGATAGCAATCCTTAGTATCTCCGAACCCAGCGCGTCCATCTTAAATACACATCTGCATAGAGCCCAAATAATTAACAAGGATTAATTAAGCGTTGATGATGATTAAGGAATAGGTAGGTGGACAGAGACGGGACCTTGCGTCACGGAAGAACACCAGCATTGGGAAGTTGCACTTTTTCTCAGCAATATTACCAATAGGAATATGTGGAGCGTCGACGCTAGTAGCAGGTCGTGAAGCAGCATCAGCAGCAGCTTCGTCAGCCATCGATAACGCAAGTCAAAACTCTCGAAACTGATCTTCTGGCGACTCAACAACTGCGTGCGATATGATGAGGGAAGCTAAGTGGGTGCGTTTCCTTTCAGCCAGCTGCAACCAAAATGCGAAAGCAAAAGCCAAGGCCCAATGACTGTTTAGTTAGTGTGATGGCCGGCAATGCAATAGCATTATATTTATAGGTATATGAAACCCGTCCGTTTGGGAGTTTGATCTTTCCAAGCTAAAAGACAAATTAACTAGGACTGGACTGGACTGGACTGCAGTTGACACCTTCCTCAGTAGCATATGCAGCTTTTAACTTGTTTTAGTTCCCCTTTCTTTCTCGATGATTGCTTTCCGCTCGCAAGTTTCAAGACTAATTAATCACATGTCCCTTACAACGGAGAAAATTCAGCACTCTGATGTCTTCAGGTGGAATGAATCTCCATGGATCGATTCGTAAGATTGATTAATTATATATTTTATTTTTACGTACATGCATGCACGCGTGATTATATTGCGTACCGCTAATCTTAAGGTATAATCTTTCGCCTAGTATACTAATTTAGCACGTCTCAAAAGTTTAGGATATATATCGTACCTCGGACGGACCTTTGATGAGCCGATTAAAGTACCTCGGATCTAGAAGGAATCGAGACACACTTTGGACCATGTAGTCGTACGACGTATCGGCATTATTACTATTAATTAATTAATTAATTAAAATGAATGTAGGAAGGAAGGAAGGAAGGAAGGAAATAAGCACTCCGAAAGACGCCATTTGGGTTGTCAGTCTCATGGGATGAGATGAGCCTTCCTGGGTTCACCATCTCCGATATACATATTTTTTTTTTCCTTTATTCTTTTGGAAAATAAAAATAAAAATAAAAAGTGAGTTTGGTGGGGATCGGATGGACACAAGATTAGGGACGGTCTTATTTGGGTGGAACCAAAGGCGCCCAAATTTTCTTCCTTTAAATAATCATCATAATATAGAGTATGAATTGGAAAAAGACGGACCACTTTTCAAATCCGTCCGAATTCATCTAATTATATATGTATTTCATTGGATATCCGGCCGGGTGAACGTAAGTCTTGCTTATATCCAGAAATCTTGGGTGGGTGAAGATTGTGTTAGGTGATCCACAAGACCACCCAATATATTATTATGTCACTAATATACATTCTATAATATAGTACACATGTTTTTTTTTCTGGCTCAAATTATGTGTCTTAATTAATTTAGTATTTTTCATAATTTTTTCTTGACTTGCAACATAAACTGTGGGTAGATTATTTAAAACATATAGCCTATATTTGGCCCGGCTTTTAGAAGTGCTTTTCGGCTTCAAAAGCTGAAGCAAGGTCAAACACCTCTAAAAGCTCGGCTTTTGAAAAGTCGAAAAGTGCTTTTGTATAACATAAAAGCAGAAGCTCCTATTTGGAGTTTCTGCGAAAAGCTGTTTTGAAAATACAAGATTATCCTTACCATATTTTAATTTTATTTCATAAAATATAATTTTTCTTCATTTATATCAATTTAAAAATAAAATAAATTATAAAATCATATTATTTAATATAAAAGAAATCTAACAAGACCCATTTTTATTACTTTTTATTGTTTAGAATTTTTATTCATATTTTATATTATAAGTCCTTTATAGTCATTTTACACAACCGCTCATATTAAAAGCACTTCTAATAATTTTACAGCCAAACAATAAATTACTTTTTTTGAAAAGTACTTATCTAAAAAAGTTCTAGCCAGAAGCTGCTTCTGTAAAAGCTATAGCAGGGCCAAACTAAGCTATAATAATGATCCATAAAATATTTTTTTTTCACAAATAAGATTAATGGTGTTAAATTATGCGATAAAATCGGCATAATATGGTATAGATTTTCTCAAACTGTGAAGCTTTTCATTATCTAATAATATACAATTATATTTTTGTAAGATTTTACAACCGACAATTATCTTATCATTTAAATTTGTATGCATATCCATCAAAACAGCTAAATGCACCCACCATCCGCAATCAACTTTCCAAACCACCCTAATTGTACAAATGGGTAGCAAATGGATTATGTTATTTTTTACCCATCCGCTGAAACTATGGGTGAGTTAATTTTAGATTACAAAACATAATTTAATTATAAAAGCATAAATTAATAAAATATTGACGAAATATAATTATAAATAAATTTCAAAATAATATTTATTTTTTGTATTTCAACGCACAAGACCATTGGATTAAATAGAATCTTACAAAATAAGTTATAAAATAGGAATTAATCACAATATAAAGATGCAAACTACAAACGAAAAAACTAATTAATCTTGCTAATCTGGCATTCTGATGATGACTAGACAATGAATGTCCCTTAACATTAACATTTGGAAAGAAAGTTAAAAATTACCCTTTAATAATGCGAAAAACTAAGTGTGAAAGATGTTTGCTTCGAAGTATAGAAATCAAGACTGCTGGGGGAAGGAGCTACATGCCACCGACTGGACAATATAAAATTTTGATGGCACTAATTAGCGCACTAACAAGTTTTATACGAATATAACAGCTCTTGATAACAAAAATTCATTCTTAATTCAAGGCAAATTGATCCAAATAATATGAAATATTATAAAAATTCCAATTATTGATTTTATATTATCTTAGAATGTTTACACTTAAGATGCTTAAAATACAGAAACAAATTTGGCCAGCTGCGTTTGTTTGAATACCGAGAGGAAGCCGGGCCAGTAAAACTTCCCCAAGGAAAGCCTCCTTTTCAATGGTCCTCCCTATGATTCCATAGCTTCAAGGATGCATACCTAATTTTGGGTGTATTGTTTGTCTCCTTGTTATTTGTAATTGTTATAAACAATTTGTACGCATTGAAAAACGATTTGTAAACAGGTATTTATAAGATTCACAAACTTTTAGTTACATAGTTTAGATTATCATCACAGTGTCTGTGTATTGGATTTTGATAAAATATAGAATAAAGATATACAAACAAGAACCAATTCCGAAGAAAATGCAGAATAAATTGTATTGGTAAGTAATACCACTCCTAGACCTCCTAATAAAGGGGAGATGTTCAGGTTTGGCTTCAATGCGAAAATAAAATAGAGCATGCCAACAACGTATCTTCACAGACGAAGAACAACGAGATCGCCCTTTTCATTCTTGGGCGACGGATAATGAAAAAAACTTATGTAGTATTATGTTCATAAAAAGAAACTAGTAAATCCGACGTAAATGATATAATAACCATAAATAGTATAATCTCAATTTACAGGTTGACCATTAGGCAACATGAATAGACAAAATAACAATAGAAAGATGCAATATCTTTCGGAAAAAAAAAGCACAAATACCTAACTTTCACTTTTACTTTAAATATTGTGGCAATATCAAATTATCGGTACACACAGTATGTTGCTTTAACTCGTTTGTTGCTAGATGATTCTTTTTTTTTTATCTAACAATTTAGAATTGAAAGATTATCTAAGTTGTGACATGCATGCAAGGATATGGCACTATAGTTAACTCGAAAAATTTTAGATATCCTTGAAAATTTTGGGAAATTACATATGAAATAAAAAAAAAGTTTTCAGTGTCCAGTATATATATAGTCACTAGTATTTATCTTTCCATTTTCAATTTTACTCTGGCTAAAAAGTGAATTTGGTCATTTAACTTTCATATTTTTTTTTCTTTAAATATTTTAAATCAAAATAAACGAATTTTCATGTTTTCCGGACCCAAGTTAGGAGTTAATTTAGTGATTTCGATTTCATATAGCATTGTTTACGTCCTCAATCTCGAGTCATATAAATAAAACTCGCAAACTTACAAATTTGCATTGGTAGGTTAATTTTGGAGATGTAGTGAATAAAATGAATTGTTTTATTAACTAGTAAAATTAGTGGGCATTTCATTTTTCAGTTACAAAAGAAGTAAGAAACATGGCATACATTGAATTGAATGATTAACTTTATGTTCCCAGTTTATTTCTTTATATGGAACATAATAAGATCTTTCGAATTAAGAAAATCATTGAAACAACCGTTATTTGGATAGATAAACCGAAATTGACAAATCTTACTTCTGTGGGAGAGAATTATAAGATGAAAATAGTTATTGCCGAGATCTGACACGCGAACGCCCGAGCCTGCCTCAGAAATACACTCTCATACATAAGTTTAGCTTACAGGCGATCCATACATACACGGGTAAAACACGCACTACTCACACTCTCACTTCCACAGACCACACTTAATTACTTTCTTAATAAATAAACAGAACTCGGAGAATTAATAAGCTAAGCAATGTAATGTTGTAATCTCCAGCAGCTTAATTTGGACACGTAAGCAAATACATGCATGCGCAAGCGCACAAGTAATTAGGTAGAGCAAGGCGGCAAAGAGTTCAGCGAAAGGCAAGAAGGGAAGAAGAAGAAAAAAAAAAGAGAAAACGTAGGGTTTAAGAAACCAAATGGAGACTCGAATGACCTAACTGAAAAGGACTGGAAAGAGTTTTTGCTGGAAGAAGTTGGTTCGTAAGTACGCGTACCTAAATTAAATCGTAACAATGACAACGGCCGCCAATCGATCTCTTTCCTTATTATTGTCGTCTCTGTTAATTATTTCTGCTGCTGGCCGGGCCTGCGAGATAGATAGCTAGCGATGGATGGAGCTCCCTTTGATTTGCAACTTGAAGCTGCTACACTATCACTACACTACTTATAAAGGCTGATAAAGCAAAATCACTATCACTCCACCCACATGGTTTGTCTTACTTGCATATTATTAGAGTATACGAACGAGCGAGAGAGATGGCCAAAAGTATATGTAGTGGAGTGGAGGCGTGAAACTTTTTATCTCTCACTCTTCTTTGCTAGTGACAGATGATCAAAAAATATATATATACACACGGCGACTATTATCACAAACTTTATTCCCAAGTTGGTAATCTCCTAGGCTAACTTGGATTTCATATTAACTAGGTAGCGATGCCGCGCCTTGTCGCGGACGGAGATGACCTATGAGCATGTATTATGTGTCCCGTTATGATGTTTTGTTAGTATTATTAGCGTAAAAATAATTTTTTGTTAGCAGTTTTGTTAGTAATATTGGCTTGACCATATGATATTGACTGAGAAGAGAAATATGACGGTCAACATCCAATTTAAAATTTTTTGGCTTGTAAATGATATTTACCTAAACCCAAGTAGATCCATTGATTATATGTAGGTAATGGGTGACGTATATATGGGTTTGGAAGTTTGTAGATGGGTTTGGGTAGGGTTTGGATATTTACTTTGATAATCTAAATGTGTATGAATTGGGTATGGATACCCATTTATTCAAGGGCGTTTAATTACACATACAAAATTTAAACCTATTTGTAGAACTTTAAAAGTTTAGGTACCAAAATGTAACACAAAAAAATTAGGTACTAAAATGATGTTTCATCAACATTTTGAGGACTTATATGCAAAAAAATAAATTTAGGTTATAAATCTAAAGATCTATGAAGTTTAGTTACAGAATTGTGATTTGCATAGTTGAGATTTAATTCTTTTTATGGTGATGTATTTAAGATGATAGTCATTCACTTTTTTTATAGAAAAATAAGACTATTTATTTGATATGTGTAGATACCTAGACAAACATTACATGTATAATTGTTGAAAATTCTAGCCCGGGTGGAAAAGAAAAACTATATAGAGAAGCAAAATGAACACAAACCGGAACTCGCTCAAAATTTCACGCCCTCAAATCTCATAGTGAAAAATGATGACTTTCTAATAAGTAATAACCATATTTATTTATGTTTTAGTGGAATGGACATTGAGTTGAAAAAGTTAGTGGTTCATGGTTCAATTATTAGTTCTCTAGACTGTTGGTGAGTCGTGTATGGACCCGTTTATACTTGTGATTAGAATACATAAAAATAGTATACTAATTAGGGTTAGACGAAGAAGGCAAAGAAAGAAATAAAGAAAGGGTTATGGAGGGCGAGTGAAAAATGAACCGAAGAAAAAGTAGATGATAGAAAGGTTTTGACAATTTCATTTAGTTGAACGCCAATATATACAACAATCAATCCTTTTCACCGTAGCAATTTATTGACACTTGCTTATGTAGATGTGACATATTTTGTTACATGTAGTCAATAGAAGTTTGTTTAGTACCCCGTAAATGTACTAAATGATTTTATAAATTCGCTCTTTTAATGTTTTAGAGTCGTCTCTCTTTAATCATTTATTTAATGATTCATGTAATTAGCAAATATAAAATGGTCGAATCTCTCCTACGATTGAGTGATACAACATCTTGTATTATACAAACTAAATTTATACTTTTATGTTCTGGTGGATTGGATTTAATTGGTTCAAAAGGATTGGTGGATTGGATTCATGGATTCAAGTGAAATATAAACATTGGACCAATATGTAAATCTAAAATAAATTGTAGGTATGAAAATATCATAAAATTTAGATAAAAAACATAATTTTTCAATGATTTTACAATAAAATTAAATTTGGGTATCAAAATGTAAAATGTACATTATAATTACTAAATTATGATTTAGTTAAATTTGGGGTATCAAAATGCAAATAATTAGGCAACAGTAACTTTGCTTCTTCTTTATATATAATAATTTAGGTTACGAGAGATAACTATCCACTCTTATAACTCTAGCTACCCACTCTCCTCATCATTTTCAACCACTGATTAAAATTTTCCCAAATAATCAATGAAAGCTGAAAGAACCAATGGAATTGAAAAAAAAGGTGTGAAAACAAAACCTGATCTGATTCACCCAACTGCAATTCGAGTTGACTAAAAGTCACTGACCCGTAACTCACCTATTCCGTAACCCTGCTGATCTGCAACTCGATTGACCCGCAACAAGATCAGTAGTGGCGGATCTAGGGGGTGGGCTACCCCGGGCCACGATCCAGCCCTCCTGCGAATACAGAGCTAGTATCGTGCTTATAAATATTTTTCGATTTTAGGTAATTGGCCCAATGTTATTTAAAAGTAGGTCGTGCGTTATTTGATAATAGAATTTTGTGTAACTAGGAAAATGATATAGATGAACATATTCAAATCACTACTCTAAATTTAATATAGAAATTCTAGTCCCAATGATTTTTATTTAAAAAAAAAAATCTAAAAGTCTCAAACCTAAACGACTAAGTATAAAGTTTCTTTTAAATAAATAAAAACATCTAAACTAAAACTCACCCTTCTTCTTTGTTAAAACTAAAAAAAAACTTCTCCAATCCCTCAAGAACAAGAACGAGGAGAAGAACGAACCAAAAATGGATTCATCTGCCAGTCTGTCGGGAGTTGGTTTTCTTTCTAGCCTTTTGATTAAGAAAATATTTACAAACTTTCTGAGTCATCTTCCGCCAGTTTAACAGTTCTTTCCAGTCTTTTGATAAAGAAAATATTTACAGACTTGCTAAAGAGTTTACACTAGAAACTTTGAATGCTATGAGATGCATTATTTTAAGAATGAGCTATGATATTATGCTTCACATGTGATTCCTAGTCAGGAATATGAAGTTTCTTCCCTTTCAATATTACTAAAGAAGCTAGCGAAAACATAGATGGACACACAATAAATATTGTTTCGTTGGTTGATTCGTCTAGTGTTGACCTTACTTGTTTCAATGTCTACCATGGAGATAACATTTTCAGCAATGAAACATGTGAAAACTAAATTGCGCAACAAAAAGAGCGATGAATTTCTCATTAATTGCTTAGTTATTTTCTTTGAAAGAGAGTATATATGCTATAGCTATAGGTATGAATGGAGATTCTATTATTGATGGATTTGCCAAATTTAAAGACCTTCTAGTTCAATTGACATTGTAATGGATGACAACTATAGTTATTATATATTTTTGTTTACGATATCTAATATTTTATTCAAATGCGGCCTAGTGCTCTACTATGTTCTGGATCCTACTAAAGTTTAAACCCGTAACCCGACTAACCTATAACGCAATGAACCTCACCCAAACCCACTGTAACGCGATCGATTTACACCTATAGATTCAGCCGTTCACCTATATTCTTCCGATCTCTTCATCAAATCTGGTTTCACCTTTCTTATATATTCAGATACCAGAAAATCATTAAAGAATATCTAGTACTAATTTCGCATTCACATAAAATTTACCATGGTCAACACACTTACCTAATACATACACTTGGACGTCTATACATATCATCCTATAAAGCTCACAACACATTTCTTACTTCTTACATACTAGTTAAATGAGACAAACTTTCTACAATGATTTAACATTTTACATAACTTGGTATTGGTGTAAAAGTCGATAGAACGCGGAAAGTAAAGGACGCAGAACACCAGATTTACGTGGTATCCCCGTTCAATGTGAACGGGACTAATCCACGGAGAGCTAGAAGCTCTCGGAGCAGAAAAACTAATATGTGTGTGTCTCACTTGCTTGATCGGCTACAGAGGCTGCCGAGAAGCATAAATAGAAAACTAACCCTAGCTCCTATCCTCAATACACGCGGAGCTTGGGACAAATAACAGAATGGTCCCCAAAGTAATTAAAACAACTAATTACAATTAAATGATCTCTACACTCCCCCTCAAGCGAAGGAGTGAATGTCGAGAAGTCCGAGCTTGACGAAGAGATGATGAAACTGATCAACACTCAAACCCTTCGTGAAAATATCGGCAGGCTGATCGGTGGTAGCTATCTTGACCGGGGCGATCTCTGACGACTGAACACGTTCACGGACGAAATAACAATCCATCTCGACATGCTTAGTACGCTCATGGAACACCGGATTAGCAGCAATGTGGAGTGCGGCCTGGTTGTCACAAAATAAGACAGTGGGACGATCAGTAGGGACATCCAGATCGCTAAGGAGCCAACGTAACCAAATAATCTCACTAACAGTGCTAGCCATAGACCGGTATTCAGCCTCAGCAGAAGATGGGGAAACCACAGTCTGCTTCTTGGTACGCCAAGAAATGGGAGAATCACCAAGCGTGATGAAGAAGCCTGTCGTAGATCGACGAGTAAGTGGACAACCTCCCCAATCAGCATCACAATAACCCTTTAAGACAAGGGGAGTCGAGGAAGAGAAGAAAAGACCACGGCCCGGAGAACCCTTGAGGTAACGCAAGACACGAACAGTAGCTGCTTCATGTGCTTGAGTGGGAGACTGCATAGCTTGGCTGAGGATGTTCACAGCATAAGCAATGTCGGGACGAGTCACAGTCAAGTAAAGAAGACGACCAACAAGACGACGATAGGCAGACGGGTCCCGAGCAGGAGGCGAAGGGTGGCGCCCTAAATGGTGCTGCTGCTCGATGGGAGTGGAACAAGGACGAGCTGCCTCTAAACCAGTGTCAGCCAAGATATCAAGCACGTATTTGCGCTGATTGAGGACAAGACCTGCAGGCGACCGAGCAACTTCGATTCCAAGAAAGTATTTAAGAGGACCGAGATCCTTGATAGTGAAACGATCATGAAGAAAAGATTTAACTTGCTGGATGAACGGCAGGTCATTACCAGTAAGGATGACGTCATCAACATATATGAGGGCTAGCACAAAGGTAGAGCCGCGGCGGTAGGCAAACAGAGCATGACCCGCCTGACTCTGTACAAAGTGGAACTCCAACAAAGCCTGGGTGAACTTCTGATACCAGTTGCGAGAAGCCTGACGCAAACCATAGATGGATTTGTGCAGGCGGCAAACCCGGGTATCGCCAGGGCGAGAGAAACCTTGAGGAACTGTCATATAGACTTCCTCATCCAAATCACGGTGAAGAAACGCATTATTCACATCCAGTTGGTGAATATGCCAACCACGGGTAACAGCAACTGCAAGAACGCATCGAACTGTGACCAACTTGGCCACCGGAGCATAGGTATCATGAAAGTCGACGCCCTCCACCTGAGTGAAACCCTTGGCGACTAAGCGCGCTTTGTAACGCTTGATGGAACCGTCTGGGCGAAATTTGATTTTAAACACCCATTTACAAGATATAGCGCGCTTGCCTGGAGGTAGGTGGACTAAGGACCACGTGCCATTAGCTTCCAAAGCAGTGATCTCGAGCTGCATAGCATCTCGCCAATGCTTAAAACGCACGGCTTGGAAAAAGTGAGCAGGCTCATCAATGGCCGTGATAGCAGCAACAAAGGCATGATGAGCAACAGAGAGCCTGTGATAGC